TTACTTATGCAGCAATATACCTTCATCACCTGCATATGGAGTATTTATATCTCAGTTGATTCGATATGCAAGAGCATGTTCTACGTATGAACAATTTCTTAAACGAGGTAAATTATTGACAAGCAAGTTGATGAAACAAGAATATCAGCGGTCTCGTTTGAAGTCATCATTTCGTAAATTCTATGGTCGATACAATGACCTTGTCAGCAAATACAATTTATCATTGAATGAAATGCTTACTGACGTTTTTCATACCAATTGTTAGTCCATTATTTATACACTGAATTGACCACGGATTTTTTCCGTTATATCCTGATTATGACAACGAGCACACGGCGGGTGTGACCGGTCAGCAGGGGATGCTCACTCCTCCATGGCACCTGATCCCACCTCTGATGTTTCGGGGGTCCGTGTTTGCTCTGCTCTTATTTTGTATATTTGTTTAATGGACGTTGAGATTGAATACTGTTCGTTATTTCCATATCGTTCCATTAAGCTGTGCTTTAAGTTTTCTGACGAGTTGGTCAATTTGTTTGTGCCATTCCTCTCCATGTATTGTTATTACTGTTGAGAGATCTCCGTATGCCTTTTCTAACTGACTCATTGTCTTTTGCACGTCAACGTCTATGTCCTGGTAGGTGGGATAAATTGTTTCATTTAATTCTTTGTGCTCTTTTCTTTTCAAGTCTTTCTTTTCACCTACAACGTGCAAAAGTTTTGAGAGCTTGTGACTAAGATGTTGATCAGATGCCAGGCAAGTGTGACAGACAGGAATGTCACAATGTCTACAGAACATCTCACATTGTTCTTTGTCATGGGAGGTGCATGCAGGGTAGATAACGGTAGAATTCCTAGACTGATATTTGACCACTCTGTGATCCTTGGTTTCATTCGTTGAAATATGTTCTCCAACACAGGCCTTGCAGAGGTTGACGAGACATGTGTCACAGTGCATCTGTACTAATGTTGTCTCACACAGGTCACATCGCATCAAATCCTGGGCACTGGTACGGGGGTCCATGACTAGTGTTAGGCTCTGAAATAATAAATTATATTATTTATCTGTGGATGAATATTTGCAAGATTATTCACTGAATTTTTTTCTTCTGATTTCCTTTATCATAGTGTAACAAGTACGGTTGATGTATTTTGAAAGTTCAGGAGAAAATGAACCAATTTTAGCATAAAGGTAACACCTTTTTCATCAAAGATCAACACTTTTGTTTTCTCTTTTCTGGATATATATGAGAACTTGGATCAATCAACCTAAATTCAGTAAAAGTTACAGACTTTAAAATATTGTTTTTTTTTTTTTTAATTTTATTTATTTATTTATTTTTTTTGCTTCTCTAATTTTTAATTCACATTAATGAACCATGATCTTGTGCTCACAAGTTTAGAATTTGAATTTGAACACACGAATTTTGGATATTTATTCTCCTCTCTGCCGAAGAAGAAATCGATTTTGTATATAAATAACGATGAATATGACTGTCAGATACATACGTTTGTAGCAACCTAAAACTTTACATATTTATTATATGCCTAACACACAAAATGTTTTCATACAACTAAAAAAATATTATGACGAAAATTATATGATTTAAAATAGTTTTATAATTAATAATTACCTGTTGACAAGTAAAGCAATGTTAGCTCCACTAAACAACTAAGTTTCAATACAAAGGGTGTTCCAGGTCACATGATTCCCTAACCATTATCTACCTGTCAATTTTTTCAATTTTTATTTTTGTCTAGTTTGAGTCAGCAGGGTATTAAAAAAATATGTATTGAATACGATCAGCAGAAAGAAACAAAGCCGCCTGTGAAGTTCTATAATTTGATCTGTAATTTTAGACAATCTTCTTGCTTGACTGGGAAATTGTGTTTACTCTGAGCAATTCTATACTACTAATGTATATTATAAGAAAAACACAGTGTTGAGGTTGAATTGTTTTTATTGTTAAATGACAGTTCATTACATTTAGTTTAGTGCGTTATTTATTGAACAACAAACTACATATTGCAGCTGATATTATTTCTAATGACCGAAATGGAATGTTTATCACCCAGCATTTAACAACAAGAATACACAATAAGATGATAATTCCAATTGCCTACTGTATAATTACCGTTGGTGTTTAAGTGGGTTATTTTTTTTAGAGAACGAACATGTCTGACTCTTATTAAGGTCTTTATTTTCGTTGACCTGTCAGAGAGCTGAAAGCTGAGATGAATGTTTCTGATCACAGTTTGTTTTGTGTTCATCTGACTGTCTGCTTCTGTATATTTTTTTTATTCATTTTCAACTTCTTCTTAAAACCAATAAACGAATTTCAACCAAACTTGCCACAATTAAATAAAGGAACATTCCCTCTTTCTATGAGTGATATAGATTGCAATTTGTGAAAAGTAAGTCGCATATTTGGAAAAACCTTATCAACAAAAACCAGCCTGAGCCAGAAAAATTGAAATTTATATGAAAGTTTCATTGCATAGTGAAGAGTCAACGTAGTTCAAATTAATACTTTCAAGGAAAGAACTGGACCGCAATAGGTCATCATGGTCTACTCAGAAAGACTAACGCCATGATTTGTTATAATTAGTTATACATGTTATCTGGTAAATTCAAGTTTCATCAAATAATGAACTCAGGGGATATATTTATAGAAATAAATTGGCAAACTCTTTCCTTCAGAAAGCCTGATTACTTTGTAAACATGGACTGATACAGACGGAGTTTCGGGTTGTGTAAAATAAAGTTGGTTCAAATCATGACACAGCGAGGAGCACACAACACACAATAAAAGTTTGAATAAATGGGGAAACAATCCTCTGCTGAAAAAATGGAAGGTTTTACTTTTCGTTTATCGTCGTCTTTCCTCCGTCGTGCGTCTTGTGTCAACATATGTACATTTTTAGCTTATACTCTGAAAGGGTTCTGTCAGCAAACCTTTGTATCCTCCATGATAGCTTTTACAGTAAACCTTTATATTCCTCTGATTAAGGTTCTTACTGTTAAATTTATATACACTTGTAATGACTTACACAACAAGTCCTTAGTGTGCAGGGTTTAACTACTGTGAAATCACAAAGTTTTGAGGGATTTTAATTTTCGTTGTTTTCAAGGTATGTTATGACCCACAAACTCATGCCTATTACGGGATGTGAAATGCTACAAACATAATTACTCATTTATTATTGATCCACGAAATCAAATCTCACGTACCAAGAGATCCTCATACCACTAAATTTGACCCCATGAAAATATTTGATTTTACAGTATACATGTATGTTAAACAAAGATATGTTTATAAACTGTTGAAGTTTTACTGTATGATTCACATTGTTTTAGAGCTATTGTAAAAACAAATTTTTGGACATTGTGACTTTTGATGACACCGTAATATCAAAATGGATCAAAATGATGAATAATAACGTGTATATAAATAAAATAAGACAGAACTATGACTTATAGGGGAAAAAATCTAGAAATCCAAAAAAAATGATTATCTGTCAAAAATGAGTCTAAGTTAAGAAATTCAACACCATCGGTGTTTTGAGGCCACATTTATTCACATTGCTGCTTTATTTACGTGCTAGGTTATTTTTTTTTACTGGTCCGAACAAATTATTTAAACATCTATATTTTAATGCTCATTAGAAATATACAAAGCAGTCTGCTGAATTGGAAAAAAAATATTTGAAAATTCTCATTATTTACTTTGTAATTACTATTTTCCTGCATGAATGACACAGAGAGCTGCATTTTATGATACAATTTACAGCAGTACATAAAAGCATATGTGAAGTTTAAACATCTTTCTTTTTTTAAAAAAAAAAAAAAGATAAACCTTTATGTTTTGCATGCTACTTTACATGTGACAAACACTATATAAGGCCTCATTTTATTTTAATATTGACTAAGGATAATCCACTAAAACATTTCGGGCTCACAACAGGTGTGACCGGTCAATAGGGGATACTTACTCCTCCTGGGCACCTGATTCAACCTCTGGGATTTCCTGAGGTCCGTAGTAAAAACCATTGTGAAGAACTAATCTTTGCGCGTTCGACAAATGAGCTATTCTCTGCTTCGGAAGCTAATTCCCAGTTATCCGTTATCTTCTAGAATTTACTTTTGTATAGGTAAAATATGTCATTAGAATAATCCCCGTGCGGACGTCAAGTTAAATAATCCCTGCTCCAAAAGCCAATTCCCCGTCATTCGTATTCCTCTATTTATTTTCTTTTGTATCGGTATGATAAAACAGTTAAAAAGTATATCATTGAGAGAGTTAGCAAAATTCCAGTTCCAATCGACGAGAACTATTTCCCTCGTTTGCCCCTCATGAAATAATCCAAGCACTGGGGAACTTAAATTAATCATAGTTTCCATTTTTTTTTCATTTATACACGACAAGATTGCCACTTTTCCTAAATATTAAGAATAAAATTAAAATTTGTGAAAGTACAAGGATGTGTCAATCAAACCCGCCAATATTTTAACTTTAATTCAATTTAATTTTCAATGTTCAATAAATAAATTTTGAATTAAATGTTGTTGAATATTTTTCATACCAGCATTCATTCTTTAAGGGATTTCAATTGATATGGTTTCTTTTGAAGGACCGGACTGTTCATCTCATGCCCATGTAAATATTAATTTATAAAACAGTCTTTATTCCTTAAGAACTCTATTGATTTTCATTTGCACAAGTTTTCGCCTCAACACCCGATTAATTTGCTCTTACTAAAGTACATCTGTTGTCTCGTCATATTTTCTGGTATTTTGTATTGAAAGCCATCAAATAAATGATCTAGGTCAAATAAAAAATAGGACTAGTTAGGGGCATGTTATCCATAAATATTTCAGCTGTTTATTGCAGAACAATAACCTTTTTGAAAAAAATTGAAGTATACAAATCAGTTATATGTTCTGTTTATCATTCTTTTCATATTCTTGTATGCCATTACAATGATTATTGGTATAATTGGTTTCACCACATATATTTGATTTTCATAACACAACTGTGAGTGCAATACCATTCGTCCCTCTCTTTGTCTTTTTCTTTGGAAATAACGAAAAGATTGTCAACATTATCTATACAGATTCTATACGGTTTATTCTTTCCAAGGATCAGATAATGAAGAAACTGTCCATCTTTGTCAATGATATGGACACATCGATTATCATAATCAGTTGTAAGGATGTGACTCTCACTGTCTGTAGTGATTCCTTGTGGACAAAATGGTTTATTCCTAGGAGCAGGAGTATGTCCAATATATCTGAATCTCAGTTTCCCGGCCCGATTGACCACCACTATTGCTTTAGCGTGATAGTCAGCTACACATACATCCAGATTCCTATTTTCACATATGTTCATGTATCGCCTAGGACCACCAGAGGAATATAGTGGTTTACCCTCATCATCAAATTGAATGGTTTGATTTTCTGTGAAGTCAGTGTATCGAACAACTTTTGTTTGTTTGTTGTCATCACTTCCCATAGTAACCAGAATGTCAACAGAGAAAGTGCTGCAGACATAACGAGGTTTCCAGTACTGAAGTCTGATCAACTCCTGTATCTCGTCATTCTTAACGATGTTTATTGTTTTATACAAGCCATCAGTATAAACTAAGTCTTCGCTTCTTAACACTGCTATGTCTTCTGGTATGGTCCTTGCCTTCGTTTTGATAAACCGGTCTTGTATATGATCTTTTACAACGTAAAGTTCAATAATATTGCTTTCATCACATATCCACAATTTATCATCACCAAGACAGGAAATATTTTGAGGATTATTTGTAAGATGGAAAATATCGATGTAAACCTGATGGAATACAACATCTGGTGATTTCGTTTTAGTTAACCGAGAGGAACCGGCTTTTTGCATTTCTTGCCTTGGTTTGAATATGTAACCATACTCTTCTGATATAAATGAAAATGGTGATATGCTTCCTAATTGATAACTTAATGTTTCGTCTTGAATAGTATTTGGAATGAATTGAGGTAGTGAGGGTACAAGTTTTTGTGGAAGCTTCTGATATTGATCCGTCTTTGGTGTTACACTTATTAATCTCGCAATGTCATTGGTGTGTTCAGCAATGCATGCATCAAATAAATCAATGTCATCTTTAATGTCCATAATTTTCTTGTTGATTTCATTCAAATGTTTTTGCATAGTTTTTAACTGAGATTTCTTTATTTCATCAAGTTGGGATTTAAGTTTCTTCACAACTTTATCAACTTTACTGTGCCAGTAATGTCCACGTTTCGTGATGGTTTCCAGTACTGAAGTCTGATCAACTCCTGTATCTCGTCATTCTTAACGATGTTTATTGTTTTATACAAGCCATCAGTATAAACTAAGTCTTCGCTTCTTAACACTGCTATGTCTTCTGGTATGGTCCTTGCCTTCGTTTTGATAAACCGGTCTTGTATATGATCTTTTACAACGTAAAGTTCAATAATATTGCTTTCATCACATATCCACAATTTATCATCACCAAGACAGGAAATATTTTGAGGATTATTTGTAAGAAAATATCGATGTAAACCTGATGGAATACAACATCTGGTGATTTCGTTTTAGTTAACCGAGAGGAACCGGCTTTTTGCATTTCTTGCCTTGGTTTGAATATGTAACCATACTCTTCTGATATAAATGAAAATGGTGATATGCTTCCTAATTGATGACTTAATGTTTCGTCTTGAATAGTATTTGGAATGAATTGAGGTAGTGAGGGTACAAGTTTTTGTGGAAGCTTCTGATATTGATCCGTCTTTGGTGTTACACTTATTAATCTCGCAATGTCATTGGTGTGTTCAGCAATGCATGCATCAAATAAATCAATGTCATCTTTAATGTCCATAATTTTCTTGTTGATTTCATTCAAATGTTTTTGCATAGTTTTTAACTGAGATTTCTTTATTTCATCAAGTTGGGATTTAAGTTTCTTCACAACTTTATCAACTTTACTGTGCCAGTAATGTCCACGTTTCGTGATGGCTTCTGAGATCTCTTTATATTTCTTTTCCAGTTCACTTACTAGTATTCTATTTTGAACATCAGTTGCAATATGTTGATATGTTGGGTAAATGGTTTCATTTAATTGGTTTCGCTGCATTTTTATCATTTCTTTCTTTTCCCCCATAACTTGTAAGATTTTCGATAATCTATGACCGAGATGTTGATCGGATGCCAGGCAAGTGTTACACACAGGAATGTCACAGTGTCTACAGTACATCTCACATCGTTCTATTTCATGGAAAGCACATTTACATGTAGGGTAGAATGGAGTCGAATTTCTAGACTCAAATTTGAGCACTCTGTGATCTTTCAATTCATCAGTTGCAATGTGTTCTCCCACACAGGTTTTGCACAAGTTATTGAGGCATGTATTACAGTACATATATACTATAGCTGTCTCACACAAGTCACATCGTATTACATCCTGGGAACTAGTATTCGGGTCCATGCCTAACTGAAATTGAAACAAAATGATTTAACGTTGATAAATACCGGTAATTGAAAAGAGAATCATCTTTAAATTCTGCTGGCCAGAGACTGTAAACTGTTGGTTTCTTGTTTTAGAAATGTTTTTTTTTTTGTTCTTTTTACTTTAGATTTTCAAGATTGAATCAATATATGTAGCATTTATAGAGTTAGTTATTTTCAAAATAACCTTAATGTGAAGGCAAACTACCAAAAATGCAAGACAGTACTGCAATCAGAAAGAGACTACAAAAATCAACATTTCAGACCATTTATTCCACACAGTCTACCATGACATTTTTTAGATTATAAAGGATGAAAGATATACATATTATTTTCAATATTAAAAAAATTCTAATACGTTTGTACTATATAATTCAAATAATAAAATGGAGAGAAAAAAAGGAGTTAAAATTAATGAAGCATGGTGGACAAAATATATTTGAACTGTCATTTACAACAAAGCAAGAATTTAATTTTAATCGGTGCAATGTCAAGTTTTACATCTAAATGTTATCTTTACAGATTAAAATTAAGTCATAGTGTCTCTTTTTTTGGTAACATTCAAACATTTGATCATTCTTTTGTTCAATGGTTTGCGTTCAATATTTTTATCCATTTCAAAGAAACAAAACCGTTCTGTTTGTTGTTACAGGAAATCGATCCTGTTCGGTAAATTTACAAATACAGACTTAGTCGAGATCGAAAATTGGGTAGAAGCAAAAGCTTTCAGCCTGATATTTTGTATTCCTTGTTATGAAATGAATACATTTTCAAACAATAATGGAAGAATAAAAAGGTATAAAAAATTATCAGAACTGTGTAATGCTTTCAGCCTTGGATACAAGCGTCAAGGCGTAACACCTTACTCAAACATGATCAAGTTTAATCGATTTCATAGATTTGATATGTCCAGTCCAAAACTTTAAAATTTTTAGCTATACTTATAGGTTCAAGACTAATTTTCTGAGTCAGAATCTACCTAAAACTGGGGAATGCTTTTGAAAACTACAAAAACATTCTAATTAAATCAAATCATTTCAAAAAATTCATTTCCACTAAAAATTCCAAGCAACTTAAGCAAACAAAATATTCAACATGAGGCCTGACAAAAGTTAATTGTGTATCTTTTAGAAAGAGGTGATAAGGGTGAATTTGGAGTCTAGAAAAGAGAAAGTTTTTATATGCACTATTATATTGCTAATCATATAGTCTCACTAACTGATTTCTCCTGGCAAAAAATTAACCAGGGGTATATAACAAAATTAACACTCTCAGTGGCATTGCTGAAGATTCGAAGATCAATAATATTTTTAAAATATATAAGAATTCAGCTAAAATTTCTTTCAAGAAATATTTTTTTGTATGATTTAAAAAATATTAATCTCAAATTTTACAACTCAGAAAAAAATCATTCAGCTTTTGTAAACAGAAAGCTACGGAACATCTCACGTGAACGCCTGGATCAAGTGATTCGTGCATGAGCAGAAAAATGACAGATTGGCAATAAAATAGGAGAAAGCTACCTTAAAAATAATGAATACTGAAACTTAATTTCATTTCTTTTATGGCTGTTATTCAATTACTTTGCGAACTTTTTGATTTTGAATACCCCTCATAGAATTCTCTTCTACAAATGATCTTCATAGTAACAACTTATTTTCATTCATTATATCAAAATCGATATAAAGAATAAACCCTGAAGTATGTGTACAGGAACTAATAGTATATTCTACAAACTTCAGAATTCCAGTATTCAGATAACAATAATGGGATTCAAAAGGATTGCAAAATATGAAATATGTTAGAGTTTAAAAGACCCTTACGTCATACTCTATCAAAAGATTTTGCTAGATCATAAAGCACTCTACAACACAACTTTCCGTCAACATTGCTCTTAACATGCTGTTATTGCCAAACGGTTGAGTGATCCGGTAAGAAACCAGCCTGACATTTATTATACGTTTGACGTTCAATTTCCCCATACTTTTAATTATACAATTCAATAAGTGAAACTCAGGTCTGGGATTTAATGTTTTGGGTCTAATGGTTGCTATTAACGGAAGATTTGCATATTAAAAAGAGGAAGAATGTGAAATCATATATTTCATGACACTTCAATAAACTGCATAAAATTATTTGATCACGCAAGACACTATAGTGACTTTACCAGTCCTTAACAAAATTCATACATAGGTTTTATGAAGTATTTCATTAGAATGAAAAAAGGGGTTGTTTACAAAAAAAGACGAAGAAATTATGACTGTCTTGCTTCAAAATGTATGCACAAAGTATGAAAAAAAATTGATATCTATTGACCAAGACGTCTTACCTGTCTAGAAGTATGTAAATGTCTGCTATCCTTTCCAACGGAAACTCAACACGATGTTGATGTTTTTACGTCACGTGACTCATAATCTCTCACAAGAGCGTGCTATACTAGATCAAGCTTAGCATGCTGAATAACTCTAAGTAGAGATTTCCTGTCAGTCGTTTCTTATTCTCCCGTTTAATTCCAGTTATATAACATGCCTACTCTGCTCTTTATTTGTGCATAATAACAGTTTAAAGTAGACAGATGACAGGGCACATAAACGTTTTTGTCCTGATCTTATCAAATAAAACCATAATTTCATGTATTTTTATTCTTCAAAGAAATATTTATTCTTTTGTATATGTTTGAAAAAAATGTGTAGAGTTATATTTGACCTGTGACTGCAAAATGAATGGGTAGAAAAAGGCTTCTCTACACGATCAACTTGTGACAAGCAATATTATTGCATCTGGGTTATTATTTCTCCACAAACAAACCTAATTCTATCTTAACAACTTGATGGCGTACTTGTTTTATAATTGGAATTTATCTAAAAAATATCACAAGAGGCCAATGGACCCAAATAATCACGTACTATGGACCAATTTTTCTAAAACATAAATTTCAATACAGTGGGGTCTCATTTATCCGGAAGCTTTGGTCCCTAGTCAATTTGTGCGGATACGAGAAGTGTCCGGATATCTGAATTACAAGTTAAACAAGACAAAATAAAAATAAAAAAATCTGTGCGACGAAAAGTCGTCCGGATACTGCAGGATCCGGATATCTGAAGGTACACCATATAAACATTGAACTGTATTTGATAATATTTACATCATAGTTGTGCAAATTTAGAGATAAAAGGACTGTAAAGTCCTTTGTCAGGTATTTTAGGATAATAGCTATTTTTCTAAATATAGTTTATGATCTTGTATAGCATGGAATTTAAATGACATATATACTGATTAATTCACTGTCGAGTTTTGAATTTATATCACAGATTAATATACTTCCCTATCAAAAAACGGGACGTTTTTAGACTAATTTGACGAACTTTATGACGTCATATCAGCAATGATGAACAATAATGATTACTTATCTAGTGTCATGATGTAGGATTATTTAGAAATAAGTATATTTTTTTTTAGTTTTATTGGAATGTAAAACAGGTTGGTCACGTGATCAAATCCCATAAAGCCCGAAGAGCTTTATGGAAGATATGATCATGTGCCAACCCGTTTTATATCCCAATAAAACTCAAAAATGATACCTCATTACTTTAATTTACATTTGTGACTTATTCATATATGACTATAAATTTGCCGAATCGTGACTTTTAACGTGTGAAATGCATTATTTTTCAAATCCAACAGCATATAAGAAATCCACTGAACGCGCGTCGACCCATTATGACGTCACTAAGAAATTACGCCGAACGTTTATCCATGCGCACATCTAAAACCTCTTGAACCCGTACTTTTATTTATACAGTTATTAACACGCTTGCTTTCAGAATTGTTATATAAAGGAAGACATTTGCAAATGTAAATATTCGAGGATGACCACATCGCTTCAACATTGACACAATTTTTGCATTTCCAGGTTTCCTTTTACCTAGTTTACAGTCGTAGGCAACAATACACATATATTTGTAGCATTGTCTACAGATGCAGCGAAGTATTGTTAATAATAAAATAAGTATCTCACTTGCCGGTGGAGAGCTGTACTTACGGCAACTGAGCAAAGAAGGATTTTTTTTCGGGGTAACTCCTACTAGTACTGCGACATGGAATCTCGGTTTATATGGTCTCATCCTAAGGCCCTGTTGTATACCCCTCCATTAATTTTGGAAAAGTCTAGGTGCAATTTCATGAGATACCTTTATGATTTCACGATTTATTCGTTTTATTACTACCCACAAAATACATTATGATATCTTTAATATGCTATAAACTTAATTACACCTGTAGCACCACATGGTTGGCATATCAATTGCAGTAAATAAAATGGCCTGAACAAGACAAAATGAAAAAATAAAACCCAGGTATATCCACTTTATGTTTAATTTATTATTTTCTATTTCTGAACAAATTGTCCGGTAAGTGACCAATGTCGGTTAATGCAGGTATTTGATTTTCTCAAGAGAGCTTGACAGACTGAAGAAATATTTCCAAGCAATAAGAAACAGAGTGTCATCTGTATTTGTACACAACCCACCAAGAGCATAAATGGTAAATTTAGGTAACGACGAAACTGTCCATTCTCGCTTATTATATGGACACAGTTATTATCATAATCAGTCGTGAGGATGTGACTTTGACTGTCTCTAGTGATTCCTCTTGGATTGAATGCTCTATACCTTGGAAGAGGAGCTTGTCCAGAATATTTGAATCTCAGTTTCCCGGCCTGATTGACCACCACTACTGCTTTAGCTCCACAGTCAGCCACACAGATATCAAGGTTCCTGTTCTCACATATAAATTTATGAGAACCATCCGATGAATAAAGAGGTGCCTTTTTATCATCGAACTGAATGGATTGTTTCTCTGTTGAATCAGAGTACCGGGCAACTTTGGACTGTTTATCATCACTTTCCATAGTAAAGAGAAGGTCGCTGGAGGAGGTTCTACAGACACCTAGAGGTTTCCATTTTTCTACTCTTATCACTTCTTCTTTAGTTCCACTCTTCACAATGTTAATAGTTCTCTCCCATTGATCTGTATACACTAGCTCTCCATTTCTTGTCACTGCTATGTCTGTTGGGCTCCTGTTTATTGTCCTTGTTCTGATTGACTTGATTAAACCCTGATTTATGCTGTAGAGTGTCATGGTACAGCTTTCATCACAGGCCCATATTTTTTCATCTCCAAAACATGCAATATTTCGAAGGTAGCCATAATGATAAATGCGCTTGTCGAAAATCTCTGGTTCATTACGCAGCTTTTTATACGGAAGAGAAACTTTTACTGATCCCTGTTTAACTGCATGAGGGGGACTTTTCTTATGTGATTTAAGTGAGATTTCTTTCGTTGTTTCCGGAATGTTTCCAAATTGTTTTGATTTAAGAGGAATTGAAGAGAAATTTCCAAAGAGAGAACAAAGTTCGTCTTCTTGGATAACTTTCGGTGTAAAGTTTGGGGCAGACAAAATAGGTATTTTTGGAAAGTTTTTATGTTGTTCTATAGAGACTTGTAAGCTGAAGATTTTTGAAAAGTCATTTGAGTCTTTTGCAATATCTAATACATTGATTTCATCTCTTATATCAATAATTTTCTTGTTAATTTCATCAAGAATTTTCTGTAAAGTTTGTAACTGCGATCTTTTCATTTCATCAACCTGGTTTTTAAGTTGATTGACAAGTTTGTTGATTTCTCTTTGCAAGACCTCTCCCTGACTTGTTATAGAGGTTAAGAGTTTTTCATATTCCTTTTCTAACTCACTTATTTTGTTTTGTATATCAGATTCCATCTCCAGGTATTTGGGATTAACGTGTTCATTTAACTGAGATTTGTATTTGTTTATCTTATCTTTCTTTTCATCCAGAACTTCTACGACTTTTGATAATTTATGGCTCATATGTTTATCAGATGAGAGGCAACTGCCACAGACGGAATTGTCACAGTTTCTACAGAACATCTCACATCGTTCTTTTCCATGAGAGGCACATTCGGGGTAAAGGGGAGTGGAATTCCTCATTTCATATTTGACCACTTTATGATCCTTGGATTCATCGGTAGAGATGTGTTCTCCCACACAGGCCTTGCACAGGATTACGAGACACGTGTCACAGTGCATCTGTACTTTAACAGTCTCACATATGTCACAGTGTATCACGTGCTGGGCACTTGCACGGGGGTCCATGACTAGACCTTTGGCCTCTAAAAGTGGTAAATAGCAGTTTTGTAGATCAACTTATAAATTGTATGTGATTTTTATGAATTGATGAGGTAATGAATTGATGAGATAATTTTATATAAGTATTTCATATTTTCCTCTTTTTGTTAACTTAACAGCATGGAATGCAATAGCGTATTTCCTGCTAATCTTGATAATATTGTAAAATAGTGAAAGTGACTTTCTTTAATTGCAAGTTCGCATGTACATGTCATGGCAACAATTGCATGATCTCAAAAGTGTTTATGAATACATTGAAATTTTGTGCAGAACTACACATTTCTAAGGGAAAAGGAAAATATCATTCTCTTGTTTTGAAAAAAAAAAAATTATTTGGAGATAAAAGTTAATTGGTAGATAATGTGATGAAAAACTGTTACCTGCTTTCTAGTGGAAAATGGCAGCTGTTCTAGCCAACAGAAATCCAAATTACTCGGTGTTCAGTCGTACGACCTACTTGTATTATCATTATCTACAAACCAAGGCGAATGTTTGTGCTCTACTCTTCGATCAATATCTTTATCTTACTGTTCCTAACGTTAGCAGTGCATAAGTTATAAATGTTGTATAAAATATTACCTTTGTTGATTGAAATAATTGAATATTTTTTTTTTACATTTAATTGCCGTTCCTCATATTTTGAAAGTGAATCACTGCTAACAGAGTATGTACATATAAATATTATAAAAAAGGTTTAAGTACATATTCATGCTTTAACATGCATAAGTATAAAAAAGAATCCAACATGTGTTATGAGCTCATTATTGGAGATTTATATCTTCAAAAAACAATGTTAATCTTTTAAAAAGGGGGAACTCCTAAGTCTAGCCGACCTTATATTCTGATTTATCATAGGCTGTCCCAAAATAGAATCATTCAAGCTCAATAAACAAATATATGGCATATGGCCGGTAAATGCAAGTTGTGATGTTGAATAAATCTTTATATTTTGGATCAGAAATATTTTGCATAACCTCAATTTTTGAGTTTAGGTAGGTTAAAGAATCAAACATACAATTCACTGATTTTTAACCAAATATAACTTGCACCGTTACAAAGATCTTAAGATAATGAGCAGCATTCAAGATCAGAAGTCCATAAAACAATACAAAATGGGAGCAGAGTTGTTCGTTAACTGCTCATTATCAACATATGATTCATCGATATGATAATGAAAATAACCATTGATAATAGACCATATTACCTTATCCGAACATGAGAGAAGGGCCAATTATTACAGTTTTTAAATTTCAATTTGTGTAAAAGGACAGTGCAGTACCAGTTATAGCAATTGAAAATCGGTATATGATACTGTATACTGGGAAATTTTCGCCCTCGTTTTATTTTTGTCCTTTTCGCTCTAACCTCGTTTGGACGAATTCAGAAAGGGAAGAGTTCAAAGTGTAAAGTATAATAGAGAGTTATAGTTACACGTTTAGTGACGAACCTGTACGGGGGACGTCATCAATTGTTGTTTTCTTCGGCGTCATGACGTCAACTCCGATGTGTAGCTACAAGTTTAGGACGTGTAGTACACTGTCTATACGTACGGTGTAAACGGGTAAAGTTATTTTGATGTAGTTGATTGATTTTTGTGCAATAAAACAAGAACGCTAGTCTATCTAAAAAAAAAATAATGAATGATGATTCGATGATTCCATCAAAGAATTAGAATTTATATCATTGGAAAGTTAAACTTAAACTGGTATCAAACAGCATGTTTATTTTGCCCACCAATGCACCAAATAAAAATTCATGGTTTCTTGGTGATTTTTTATTTTCTGTTATTTTCTTTTGTTCTTTTTAAAACCTATTTTAACACCTCTATATTCTTTATCTTTTTTTAAATAGAATATTTTAGAACTATTATATAACATCCACTAGCACTAGTGACATAACAAAAAATACAACCCCTCGCCTTATAAGTTAAGGTAGTAGGCCTATGTGTAACGTCAAGTGCTTGTTGAGATTGTTTTTCATTAACTATTTTTTTTCTTTTGTACTATCACTTGTAAAGATCTAGAGCAGACGCGTATTTAAAAAAAAGGGGGCAGTGTCTGATTTTAGTTTTAACAATGTATTGATGCATTAAATTTTATTCCATGCCTCCTTTCTAGACGTTATATGATTGAGTCTTCACAATTTATTGTTTTCAAAAGGTTTTCTTTTGGACAACCCCCCCTCCCTTTCATCCTCCACAAAGTGCAAAACGTGGTCGTTTTTTATCGTCAGATAAATAATTTTTATGATTGCTTCCATTTTAAAGTGATGCATAATTAAAGCTTAATGGTTCTGTAGAGAGATACTAGGTGACAAACTATTTAGAGCAATTCACTGCATTGAGATGACAATACATATAATAATTTTTCATGATATCTATGACTAGAGTAAATATAAATTCCATTTCACCATTGATTTGTCTAAATTAAAAATAATAAGTACAATGCCGTTCAATTAATTTACTGTTCAATCACGAAATTTGCATACGTACACGTGTACGTATAACTAAATCATGTTATTGACGTGGACATCAAATAGAACGTGTAGGTCAATGTTACGCGTACACGTTGTTACGTCACTTGTAACTAAACCTCTCTAATTTCTTAAACAAAACTGTGACTTGGTGAATTTAAAATGGGGCAACATTGTTTGCAAGTGTGAAATGACGAAAATAAAGTGGGGCGAAAATAATCCTGTATACAGTATTTGAAATCTTGCGATAAAATATTTACCAGTCAATATTTGGGTATTAAAGAAATATACTTATTTGATGCGATCGAATAGCCTCTCCTTAATTTTGTTGCTTTGCTTTAATTATAAAATTTTGTTTTAATATTTTACATATGCATTTGCTTGAACATCTGACATGTAGGAAAATGACAAAAGGATAGAAAAAAGAGGCGCATTGGCCATGATAAAATGCGAACAATTGTTCAGAGATCTGAGATCTGATTAACTTATACATAATCCCCAGAGTAACCTATGAATAAAGTTTAAGTACCTTGGTTTATAAATGACAGAAGTGCTTTTTAAGTAGACGGGGAAATTAATTGAATAAAAAATAGACTAAACGAGAGAAACGAATACATTATATTGTTGTCAACTGACAATGCGTTTGATGATTTGGGATGAAAGACAAACACAGAGTAGAGGGGTTTTTTTATTATTCATTGGAATGTACATACAATGTACTTTAATTTTAGATTTTAAAATCAAATATTAACATAACAGATAATATGATCTTATACTGAAGATTTACAGTACACTTTTAAGATGAATATAAAACAAGTCTGGTAACGCTTTATTATTTTTTTATTTCAAAAGAACAATCCAGAAATATTCATCTATTTCAAAGATTGCTATGGTATAGGATATATTCACTATGATTCTATTTACTATATATGCCATATAGTTTTAAGCAATCATTTGAAATCCCTTTTCCAACGAACGCACTCTATATATACGCCTAGAAAATCAAATTAGGATTATAAATTTTTAAAATACAAGATTTCTGTCTTTGAATTATGTGACAACTTTCAATAATAATCTAGATAATTATGCAAGAGTATAGTCTTAGTATAACCCACAGTATACTGCTATACGATTTTAAAATTAGCTAGTTGAATAGAAGAAAAAAGTTTCAAAGAAAAAGAGATAAAGAAAAATGTTAAATAAAACAACGCATGTATTTATCTGTTCACACGCAAAGAGACCTGTCTAGTGCCAATCAAGGGCGGAACAGATCGGTCCTCCGAATGAAACCTAAAATCGCGGTTTAGAATTGCCTTAGATCCTTTAACAAAGATGTCTCCTCTCTAGAAGCACTAAAGGGAGCGTGAAGATAACAGTAAAACAATCTCAAAGTTAAAAAATATATTATTCTCTCTCAGCTTTGGGTACCACTAATTGTTATGCCACCAAGTCATACATAGGCAATTTATGGTAAACCAAGCTGAGTGAGAAGTTCTCGAAAGAATGTATAACAAACACCCAACTAAGCACCAATCTCTGTCATATGCATTTCAGGTTTATTTACTTTTTGAATTCTCCTGATCCCACCTAATCCCACCTTCGATGTTTTGGAGGTCCGTGTTTGCTCTGATCCTATTCTATATTGTTTTATGAACTTTTGATATTGAATACTGCGCGTTATCTCCAGATCCTTCACTTAAACAATGCATATGTCTGATTATTATTGATGAATGATATTTTATTAGCTTTTCTTATTTTAAATAAATATTTACCTTAGTTGTTTGTCAATTTTATTTACATTATTACCGACGCAATTTTCAATTTTAAAGCAATTAAATCTAAAGGTTAATTACTGTATAAAAATTAATACAATGTCATCTAAAGCATCTTTTGTCTATGTCTATGCAAGTTACATTAAAATTACTCAGGTATCTGGTATACCTATTTGCTGTTCTATCTCACGTGACAAAATAATTTTTTTTTCACCCAGTCAAATTTTTTCTAGATAGAGCATTTATATAAATCTATATTCCTCTCCGATCAATTTATTGCCTTTTGAGAATAAGTTTTGACGAATTTTGGGCATTGCACTCATGATGATATTGCAACTGTCATACAAAATGAACAATTATTCAATATTATTTGTCTATGTAGTGTTTCTAAGTATGTTTCCGGGAAAATGTTAGGGACAAAACAAAAATATATTGCGAAAATATAGTATTTCATACCTTACATACTATTAGATCCTCCATTTATTTTCTCATTTAAGGTTAGATGATACAAGCAAAATTTTGTCAAAAATGTTGAAAATAACAACTTGGTTCTTGTTAAGAAGGAATCGGAAGATCCAACAAACAGTATGCAAGCTAAAATGTCCTTGAAAATAAGAGAAATTTGGAACAGAGTAAACACAGGCCTCTCAAAGCATAAGAGATGGGATTTATCTGTTTGAGATTTGTTAATTAAATCTGGACTTTGAAGCATTTCTAACTTTGTAATTGCATACCTTGCTGACCAATAAAGCATATTTTCTAAAATTCACTCGGGCTATATACTTGCCAAGTGCAATACCTGCTGACTTATCAAAGTAGATGTAAGCATTATACGTCCTCATTAGTCTATTACTATTGTTCATTCCTTTTATTGGCAAGTGTAAACGTGTAAATCTTTCCAACCAATCTATGCCGTAAAATCTAAACCATGCAACCCAAAAATGGCTGACATTCAAAGGTGTTGAATCCATTCGCAGTATTATAGTGTTATTGAACTTAAAATTCTCTAGATTTTTGATAGTATTTTGATAGAGACTATTTACTAGCTATATAATTATATATATTGTTGTTTTAATCAGATGTATGAAATATTGAAAGACATTTATGATTAAACAAAATGCGCAAAGACGTTCCTTTTGTACTTTGAATATCAATTCATTGCACTTGAGAGAGCTGTTGTGGTAATTAAAAAAATTAACCATG